GCGTGTGCCTCCAAGGTTACGGGGTGCTAGATGTGCCATTAGGTGTGAATTGGACAGAATTAAAAATAAAGCTGCTGCCATGCATTATTAAAACTATCCTAATTGCATTTGCATGAGTTTATGAGATGCTGAGCACACGTGTGAGCCAGTCTGCCGTGTGGGCGTGCACACGTGTGGCAGATTGTCTTTCGTGCCGGGTTACTCGTCGTCCTCTGCATCATCCAGGCCTGTTGTCTCATCTCTGCGTCTCCGAGTCCTGATGTTGACTGTAAAATAGTAATTTCCTCTCCTTAACCTGACAAAAGAAGAAACACAGAGCAGATTTCCACCAAGTCGGCCTCTCGGCTACCAGATGGCTCCGTGTCATCTTAACTTTGATCACAGCATAACGTGTGGCATTATTTTGCACAGAGAGCAGGACGTTGCTGCTGCTGCTGCTCAGGAGGAGCTTCGGCTCATGTGTAGCAACATTGCCCCTGTGTGGAGAGAAATGGAAAAACGTGTTCAGATGAAGCTGGAGAGGAACTGTTCTTAAGTGTTATAGAGATATGCATGTATGTCGGTGGGGCTGGATGCAGTTTTGTTGGACAGAAACAGCAAAGTAGTGCAATTTAAAAACACATCTAAGCAGAAGTCAGTATATGAAATCTTAAAGTCCCTTTTCAGTCATTGGTTAAACCACTAAAAACGCTTCTCTGCCAAAGTCACACATTTTGAGGTTTCTTTTTTCCATGAAATTAATCCTTTAGTGTCTTAGACGTAACTCTACACCACTCCCTGTCTAGAATATGCAGATCTGTGAAGTCCCTCCTCTATTTCTGCACTCAGTCACGGCAGCTCGAGCCTCCTCTGCAAACCACCACACAATGGCAGGTTGTAATATTGGCAGCCGCAAATGTGAAAACTGATTCCAAACAAGAATAATGATGCAGCACATCCCACCCCGTGACATTAAATTCCTTAAGAGTGTTACTATGAAAACCTGAATGCGTGTTTTTGTTGTCGCTACGCTGCAGTTTCAAGGTGGAAAAGCTCAGCCGCGGTGTCGACGACTTCATTTGTAAAAAGAAAAGCATCATAGGTGCATGATCACAAGGTAGGAATGGGTCTTTAGGTATCTCTCTCAAACATTAAAAGTCATAAATAAGCAGCACTATGTATTTACAACCGTCGCCTCACAGCAAGAAGGTCGTGGGTTCGATCCTGCCCCCCTGCTGTGTGGGTTTTCTCTGTGTGCTCCCACTGTCCAGAGACATCTACGGTGGGATAAAGCAGGTTTACCTAATGGATGCATGGATAAAGTCCAGGGAAGGAAAAAGAAAATAATTCTGTTTCTAAAACACTGTACAAAGTAAACTCGTGTTCTGCACTGGGACTATGTGGGTGTGGTTGGATTGGATTTGATTGGCCGAGGCTTGGCAGCTTCAGCGCTCGGCCCACCAGCTGTCATCAGATTTTGCTTCAGTAAGTGATATCATCCTTTTCCAAGCGAGCCTCGCCGGCTGCCCACAGCAGTGGAAAGCAAACAGAGAAAAACACAAACACAGGAATCTCTCGTGACAAATAATCAAAAGTGTTCTGCAGATCTTGCAGTGAAATTTAGCAAGAGATAAGATAGGATAGGATGGGATGGGATAGGATACGATATGATACGATAGGACAGGACAGAACAGGACAGGATAGGATAGGATAGGATAGGATAAGATGGGATGGGATAGGACAGGATAACCCTTTATTGATCCCACGGTGGGGAAATTTGCAACCACGTATGGCTTGAACCAGAATGACAGAAGATCCCCTCATTAAGTTGAATACTGAATGTATGCAACATTACAGCATGAAGCTTTATAAACTGACCAAGAGCTTCATTTATTTTTCAGCATTTTAAATTTGTGTTTTT